GCTTTTGGCCAACTGGTGCTGCTGTTGCTAATTTCTTGCTAATTGGGTTCAAAACCTAGACAGCTGAGGTACTGGCAAATAATGTGGTGTTAGAATAAAAATACTGTTTTTAAAATGGGCTGTTAACTGCATATGCATAGGTCAGTTAAAATTGTCTTACTTGCTTTTTGCTTCTTCATTCCATGTATTATAATGAACACTGCTTTTAAATGTCTCTGAATTATTAATTGTCATGATGAGTATGCTGCACAAATCCAGTGTTATCTCCTGTTTTTCTGGATGTTGTGTTTTGGTTGATTTTTTTTTTTTTTTTTTTTTTTTAAAAAAGCAGTTCATATCAGAAAGTCAGTTTGTTTGGAATAATTTTTCATTGTAACATCTATTTCTTATATTTATAAATTAAGTAAAATATAACCATTTATAATTAACTGTTAAATGTCACTATGGTGGTATTAACACTGTGGATGTGTCCTACTTTTGGGAACAGGAGTATGAGAACTTTGTGACTTGCAGAGTAAACGCATGAAAAATGTAGCTGCAGGTATTCTGAGTTTGTGGCTTTTAGGTGTTTACTACTTCCTTTGTGGAATAGATTCTTCCTATTTCTTTTTTCCAGCATTCTTCATCTTTTTCAATTACGCTGTCAGCAAGTTTGATTTTCTTAGCCAGTTGAGGCTGCTAAGTTGAAGTTTTTCACTGAAGTGGACAAAAAATGGTCACGCAAACTACTGGGTCCTGCTCAAGGATGTGAACCTCACAGACTCTGAAGAGTTACATTGGTAGTGAAGTTGCTGTTTACCTTCTGGTACCAGCTTTGGATCTGTGATGCATATGGACTGGTACAGGCTTCAATCATTTCACTGCCCTAAACATACATTTATCCACACCATCTACTGATGTAACAATTAGTGAATGCAAGCTTGCAGGAGAGTTTTGCACCTCCAGCTGTGGCAGATCTCTGAAGCGAATGTCTCTGTTATTGACACTTGCTGAACTTGCCTACCTACACCTTGTTTCTTAGGGAATGCACAAAGTTGCTTGTATGTGGCTTCAAAAACTATGTGTTCAGCTACTCAAGTGGGTTGAGAACGGTGGTAGCATGTGCATTTGGCAAACTGAAATTTGTATTATGCTTTCTACTAGTGGATCTTTGATGATAAAAAAAAATAGTCCCAGGACTTCCTCTGCAAAAGCTGCTCTGGGGACTCTAGGACTCTAAGAATTTGTAGAAATGTTGATATGTGCATGAAACAGCAAGGCTTTGTAAACTAGCAGCCAATGTTATAATCAACTGTACTACATGTACAAGGCATTTAATTAAATTAATGACCACTTTGATCTAGTATTCCACAGGATATCGAGATGAGTGTTGTGAAAACATTACTTGTTAATCTAAAATATTGCCTCGGGAGTAGAAAGTGTGAATGAAGTTTGGGAGGAAAATATTTTGCTGATCTCTTTTTGGATGGTGTTTGGATATCAGGATGTTTGCAAGTGCATTATGTAACTATGCAAGGAGACCAGTGTGCAAGGAATAAGCCATATCCACAATTTGTGTTTAGTGCCTGTTATAAGAAGTCAAGATCTTGCCTGCATGCTTTGAGGCATAGGAGTGAGTTTGAAATCCACAGGTACTTTCCTACTGGAAAGCATTGTCTCAAGTTTTGTCCTAGGACAAAACCAGGAGTTTAAAGTGCCAGACAAATGCATTCCTGCATGTTAAAAGATAAATGCCACAATAAAACTCCAGGGGCATGCTACATACCTATGTCTGCATGTGGTTGGAGGTAGCTACAGGTCATCTGTCAGTCCTGGCCAGTCTCTATCTTATCCTTTTACTTTTCATCCAGCATCTGTCTATGTAAACTGCTGTGGATGGCTTTTGCAAGTGTACTAAGTCGCTAATGACCTTGTTAGGGCAGGTGTTTGTTATTTTACAGTTAAAAGCGTATTCCCAAATTATATTGGCATTTTTGAGATGGTACCTAAAAAATGTGTTTGGGGAGCTCTTGAGGTAGTAAGAACTGTTTTCGTTCTTCCCGAAGAACTGCAGACTGAGGGAGCTGTTTTCCTCTGCAGCACTTCAAATACACACAAAAGGCTCTGTATTTAAAATAGGATAAACTTACCTAGGTTCTGAAGAGAGAACTGTGGCCTAGTGCAGAAGAGATGCTTTTGTGGATTATAAGCTGCTGATTTACAGTACAACAGCAATCAGCAAGAGACAGTGCTGTCTGATGAGCTGTAGATGCCTGAGAGGAAAAGGGAAAATTTCATTTCAAAATACTAACCTGTACGTTTTGCTGCTGAGTACAGACAACATTTGTCATATACAATGTTAGCCTTACTCATTTCAGCTAAGTGCTATCTCGTTGGTTTTAGCTTTTGCCTGATAAAACTACTTAGAGATAGAAGGAAATGGGCACCTTCCACCGGATGAGAAAGAAGCCTCTGGGTTTGGTAGATGCAAGAGTAGCAGATATACGCTGTCACTTTACTCGTCAACATCTGGCTCTTTTGGCATAACCCTGTTCCACTGAAGACTTAGGAAGGGTATGGGTAGGGATGTTGAATATCAAGCTTTGGTCTGCTTTACTGCTGGACTGAATAAAATTCTTCAAAATGTAATTGGATTATGTTGAAAACTGCTGGTGGAATGAGGCTGTCTGGAATAGGGGGATGGCAAGAGCAGGTTATAACAACATATGGAACACAGTTTGGGCTGGTGCCAAATGGGACTAGGGCAGAGACACCAATTGTTCACAGTTACTTTAAAAAAAAAAAAAAAAGGGACTGGGGGGAGGGGAGAAGAGCACTGTGTAAATGGATTAATCTATGCAGTTATAGAAGCCTCCATATCTGCTGGTGGGAGCAAATTGCTGTGACCATACCTGATGAAATTTTTTGGTGTTCAAGCTCTTTGTCGTGGGTCCTGAAAAGCCTATATCACACTGTCCATCCGACTGTCCATTATGATTCATTTCCTTGTATTGGGGTGATTTTTCCTTTGGCTTTAGTTTTGTTATTGTTGCCTTTTACTTTCTTCCTCATGATCTTGAATCTGATATTAAAGCAGCAATTCTCAAGTGTATGGTTCCATGTCTAAATTTATTGAGATGATATTTTGAGAATATCTTGCTATGATCTGAGCAGTACCCACCTCAAAGGACGAAGGTCAGTGTATTGGAATGGTGAAAACCTTCCAGGTGCAGATAGTACAGGAGTCCTTAACTTCAAACTTAGCATCATGCTCTCAGGATTGAAGGACCAAGTGGAGGGTTGCTTATCTGTGGGAAGTCTGTAGGGTGGTATTCTAGACAATGCAAGTGAGCTAAAGGGAGATGTCGTAAATACCAGTGGCATTATCTTATGATGAGGCCTTGACCCTAAGGATATTAATGGAAATAAAGGTGAACCTGCTATTAATGGGGAATGGCAATATCTGGGAGGAATTGACACTGTGGTGTTAAATAAATGAGAAGAGGAAGAAAAGCACCTGTCTGTATTTAAAAGCCACTGGGATGGACCTGGAGGAGTGGAGCAGTCAAACAATCACAGTTATGTGAAAGGAATGACAGCTGTAATATTGTTCCAAAATCTCAAACAGGTCAGACTCTGATCAGCTGGTGTCATGGCAACTACTTTGAGACAACTTTGTTCTACAGTCTTGTGATCCAGACCCTTAAGGGGGTTTACCCCTACCCACATGTAATGGCTGGTTTCTTTAATTTTGAACAGTTGTAATAGCCAGTCTGTTTCACAAATGCTTTGTTACTCTTCTTGTCCTCTTATGCAAGTACACTTGCTTTCTTTAGCATCAGTGGAAATTAAAGTCATTTGAAGTTTTTCATAGTGACATAAAACTAAATAAACAAATCATTAGCTGTTGATCAGAAAGTTAAATGTAAACTGATTTTGTAAGAATAATATTTAAATTAATGAGTTGTTAGAGGATTTACTGCTTGAATGCTGTACCCCAGCACCTGAAAAAATGTAACTGCAGTGTCAGTATGACCACTGTGTGCAACTGTGGTATTCTTTTGATGGGAAATCTTTTCAACTTTTTACTTTTTATCCTTTAAAAAGGTGTCCAAAGAGGATTATGCTTAAAAAGTATTTATTTTTCCCATTAAAGTTTGTGGGGTTTTTCTTATTTTGGTGGGAGGGGAATAGTTACAGGGTAATCCATGTTTAGTTACCTTTTGTAATATGCGTAAGAAAATCCAGACACTCATCATGTTCTCAGTTATGGAAATCGATCTTTCTTTAAAAGCTTGCTTTCTTATTTGCTCTTGAGAAAACTGGCATACAGAGTAGCACTGTCTTTTATAGTTTATTACTGCAGTGTTATCTGCTGGCTACTTCAAAATGTCAGATTAAAAGTTGAGTGGCAAACTACTTCATCAAATGTAATGTATGTTGTCCATTTGATATGTTCAATGAAAGAAGTAGAGAAAATTTTAAGAAATAGGCAAGGCTTATTCAAAACAGTCCTTAGAAGAATTCTGATCTGTGATATTAAGATACTCAAAATCAGTTAGATAAAACCTCACTACAGGAGTATTTGAATGACTGGAATAATGCTCTCTTTTCCTTGAGAAATTGTTTCATTAAGTGTGATCTGAGAAGTAATCATAGTAATTTGTGTATCATAATATTAACTTATTTTAAAATGTATTATCACAAGCGATTTGTTCATGTTTCCTGAATGAATCGTAAATGAAGGGTAGGTGCTTCAAAGCTGCTTGAATTAGCTGGATTTTTAAGTCTCAAAATAAACTAATAGGGGATAATGTAAGTAACTTGGAATCTTTCTGTGTTTGAAGAAATAATTTAGGAATTCTTTTATCAACTCCTGCTGCCCCCGCTTTTGTTCTCAGACTGAAAACTTTTCTTTCTCAGCCTCAAGTCACATTGCCTGTAATCTTAAGTGTTTTAATTGCGCTGGTGTAGATTACAATCGATGCCAAGTTGCTTGAGGAAAAACAAATAGCTGTTAAGGTCCTTGCAGGCTCTTTGCATTCTATTTGCATAGGGAAAACAGTGCTTGTAGAAATGCTGTTTGGTTTTGTTGTTTTTTTATTTGGCAGGCAGAGTTGCGAGCAGCTGTTTTTTTGGCATTAGAAGAACAAGAGAAAGTAGAGGTAAGAGAATCTTAAAAAAAATCATCAGCATCCTGATAGTTCTTCATGTAGAATTAAATATAATAGCTTTTAATACTTTTTATTTGTGAAATGTAACAAGAGAAAATTATGTATTGTTGCCTAAGAGTATGATGCTTAAAGAACACAAAACAGGACTATCAGGGTGTTTCCTGATGTTTAGATATAGGAATTGTTGCATAGTCTTTTGAAACTGTAGCTTTAATTAACTATCTCTGCTGGTTTTAGATAGTTATTCTGGTCAATTGGACAGAAGTAAATATCTCTTCCATCAGATACTTCTTTAAGGAAAAAAAAAATCTAGTTGACTGATCAAGATTTTATCAAATTGGAATAACATTTTTAAATTTGAAATATTATAGTGGGATTTTTTGACAAGTGTATTGTGAAAGCAGTATAATGCAGTTACTTGTTGAGTATGCTAATGCTTTTGGTATTTCTCATAAGGATGTTGTAAGCTTACTTCAGGATAATTTGGTTATATTTAAGAAATAATGTTGAATTAAGAGATGGACTATGTACTGATACCTAGACAATACAATAATGTTAAGGATACGTGATACTAGCATGATTAACAATGCTGCTGTGGTATGCAGACACTAGTTTTGTGACCCCCTTATGCTGCTGGCATTGCCTTGTTTCCTGTGTCTTTCCTTTTTTCTAGAACTAGAGAGGAGAGGGTGCTCTATGTCCAGGCTCTCTGTTTCAAAAGAGAGGAATGGAAGACTGTCATATTCCTTCACTGCTTAAATGGTTGTGCTCTTTCTGTAAAACTGAACTGAGATGATGTTATTGTGACATTAGTAAGAAGGGGAGGTAGTTATTTGGTATGAAGTTCCATATTCCAGAAATCTAACATAAGATTGCTGAAGAAGACCTAATGGAAGAGTGATATAGCAGAACCATTCCATCTGTTATGGGAAGCTTCAGCATATTATAGACTACCCCAAGAACAGCCTCTGGAGGTTGGAGATAAGGACTGGACAGAGATTTGCTACAGTTGATCTTGGCTCACCCTTTTTTTCAAAAGGCTTAAATGTATCGTGATATTTTAATTTTACACTGTAGAGACACTGGAAATATATTAATACTTAGAGCACTATTCTGAACTCCTAAATATTAAGCAAGATATATTTCTTTTTTCACACAGTGCTTTCTTGTGTGTGCTAGCATTTACAACTGTAGTGATAAATATCTATAACTAATCCTTTTATTTGACTTAGGTTCTTACCCAGGATTTTTTGATATGTTAGGAATGGCATTTAGAACGTGGTTTGAAAAATCCCTGAGCAATTTTAACAATCTCAAACTTAGCAGATTGATTTATCACTGTTTAAAAATCAGGGTTGAAGAGGGCAAATCTAACAAGGGAGAAGAAACATTTTCGTAATATCTTTGAAGGTCTTTTAATTGATAGAAGATTAGTATTGATGTGTGAACCACTAATTAGCACAGTCTACACTTTGTCTAGATGATTTGTAAATTCCCCTTTTTTAAAAAGTGGGACTGAATTTCCTTAAACAAACTTGGCACTATCTTAGATGAGCAATTTGTGAAGTTAACTGCTTAATTTACCTTTTTAATCATTAAGTAAATAAAAATCAGTATGTCATTAAGAATTCTGGTGAAATTATTCTAGCTTTGTAGCTTTTATAATAGAAACACTGAGACAGTTTTAATTTTCTTAAGTAAATACATGGCTCTGCAGCTTTTACATGCAGACAGTAGAATTAATACAAAGGTAGATTTCTGAAGAAGTGAATTACATGTGCCAGGTGCATTGTGAAACAGGGTACAGCAAAACACCAACTTGCTGTGGCTTTTGATTTCTTGCTAGTATGAGGATGATGTTAATTACTGTTTGGTTTTTGCTTTTTGACAGAACAAAGCACCTCTGGTAAATGAAAGCTTGAAAAAATTTTTAGGTACAAAAGATGGTGAGTTCTTTGTTTAGTATACTTCTCAAAGTAGTACAAATAGGAAACAAAGGATTAAATCTTGAACCTTTTATTAACAGCACAGCAGTCTTCATGACATAAAGGACACTTTTGTTCCTATCAAATGTCATAATTACTAGTCATTGAGGATAAAAGTCAATCTATAATTTTTGAAGTTAATATTGCTTGAGTTGTATTTTTAACTGAGGTGACTAATGCATTTAAATTAATATTTCATCATGATTTACGATTATGCTAACTTGGAGCCATTAAGAACAGTAACCAATGAAAACTGACTGTAGAGGTACAGGAGTAAATGCATGCATAGGAGAAATTCCAAAATGGCATCTTTAAAACAGCTGAATAGTTTAAAAAAGTAATCTTATGCCTAAATTTTGTGCGCAATCTGTGTTCCTGCAGTATTGCTGATTTAAATAATTTTGATACGATGGCTGAATTAGAAATTAGGTAATTGGTATACAAATTAGCTCTGTGGTGGTAGTTTGCTGAATGTCTAAGTGATGTTTGTAGGAGTGTTGAATCAGTGCAGATGTTCATACAGAAGCCATGTTAATGTTAAATCTTTGAAGTAAGAATTGTTTCTGTCTGGTGTATTTTCACTTGTCTCATCTCATTTTTAGGTCGCTTGGTAGCAGGTCTTGTTGCAGAATTTCTACGTTTTTTCAATCTTGATTTTACATTGGCTGTTTTTCAGCCCGAATCAAGCACGGTAAGATATACTAGTTTTATTTCTGTGCTCTGCTGATTGTTTGGAGGGCATGGCAATGAATACAGAAGCTATAGTAGATTTAAGTCACTTGCTTGCTTTTGTTCTAAATAATTTTTTTATATTTAGTCAGTAAAAGATACTTATGGCTGTAAAGACACATATTCCAGGAAAGTGTGCTAATATGAATGAATATTCTCTTTATAAAAAAATCAGTTCTTGAGAATACGGTAATTTTTAATTAACAATTTTTTTGTGAAATCATATAACAGTATATACAAGAGTACTGCAACACTTTTTGCCAACAATTTTATTATGTCATGATATTAAACTAGTATGAAAATTAAAATAATGTCAGTAATCTGTACTGAGAGAAGTTTCAGTAAAAGGACTTTGCAGATGTACATGACAAAAAGTGATTGAATAGAATAGTTCAGTTAGACGGGACCTACAGTGATCACATAGGCCAACTTTTTTGCTTTTAGACTTTTGATATTGTTAGAGGCTTTTTATCATGTTTGTCCCTTTGTCTCTTTTTATGATATAAAGGTTTTAATAGCAAATTTGCATTTGAAACAGTTCATTTAATTGGAGAATTTCTCTTTACATCTCAAATGTTCATTTTTATTCTTAACGTCAGTTTAAATAGCTAAATTATTAAAAATCCAACTTTGTTAAATCAATTAATTGACTTCTGTTTCTCAGGAATTCATGTTTCTTTTTAGGGGCTTAATCAAAGAAAATCCCATACACTCTTGTCCTTTACTAAATATTCTTAGCTGTGTTTATTGCACTAGGATAAACAAAGGGTACAAAGATTCATGTTCATGTTACCAAATAGAAACAGTCATGCTTTCTGTCATGTGGCCGCTCACTGGTGGGAACAGTAATTTATTTGTAATGTAAACGCATCTTATTGTCATTGAAATGCCCCCTTCCTTTTTTCAGTAAAAGCATCTTTTCCACCTATTACAGTACCTATATGAAATCTGGCCAAATTTAAGCAAGTTGACCAAGACTGCTGTGTATAGCGCTGAAAGATTTTATTTGGTGTTCCTCTACTAGCTCCTGCCTCTGAGCTATCAGTTGTATTGTCTCTCTATCCTCCACATTTCAGTGTGCTTGAGTGGTGATGGCTGGCTTCAGTGCTTGCTTGATGAGTGTTTTGAAAGGAAGTGTCACTAAATAGTTGTAAGAGTTCAAGACTAACTGGTGCCCTTTGCAGCATTGCTGTTCTGAGGTTATGCCAACCCGAGTTTGCTGCAGCATTCTGCGTCTGCTGTAATGTGAAGTTCAGTTTTAAAAAGTATACTTTAATTTTTCTCTTGTCAAGTTGGTTTTTGGTTTTTTTTTTGGCTGATATTGAGTTGCTTTCATCCCTGTTTCTCTTCAAACCTGTGTTTTTTTAAAGTGAAACCAAGACTGTAAGTGTTAACCTGTACTTTTATACACATGGGAATGAGGACTCTCCATCATCTGTGAATCTACTGGAATCACTGGCTATGTGTCCTAGGATCCACTTGTAAAAGTGATAGGCTAAAGTAACTTGACCACATAGATCCTTAAATCCTGACCGTGCTAATGATGAGTACTTGCATGTACAACAACTTTGGATGGTCTGTGTTAAGTTCAGGTACAGATCAGAAGTAACTGATGCAATAGACTATCGTTACTTTAGTCCACATGCAACGGGAAGTCTTAAATAACCACCGTTTAGTCAAAATATTGCTGAGTTAAATAAGACCAAAAAGCTTTAGGACTTATACTACAAAATATGTATTGTGTTTTCTAACAGTTCTTTCTGTGTTTGTAATTTTTTTTTAAATGTGTGTTTTTTCATCCAGCTAAATGGCCTTGATGGTCGAGAAAATTTAGCTCGAGATTTGGGAATTACAGAAGCAGAAGGTACTGTGGGTGGTCCCCTGTTGTTAGAGGTGGTTAGAAAATGTCAGCAGAAAAAGATTTCAGGCAGTGGAGAAGTAAGTAGTGTTAACATGTAATTTTCCTTCCTTAATAATTCTTTATTCATTTTATTTTCAGTGATTTAAGAACTGAAATTAAGAACACTTGGCTATTGTTGTAGTATTATACTGTTTCAAGACTTTATTTTACTATATTATGCCTTCAACATCAGAAAACAATTCTGAAAAATAAAGATTATGACTATCCTATTACTTTTTAATGCCACCCTAGTACTCTTTACTAATATTCTGCTTCAACATAGTATCACAGAGTGAACTCAGTTAAATGACACAAAAATGATGTGTCACTTATTTTCTAATTTTTAGTGTGGACTGATAGCACTTTTAATATACCTGTTTTCTTTGGCATACTTCTAACTTTAATATGACCTGAAAAGCCTAGAATTGGTTTTGTTAAAAGCTTTAGAGCTGTTCTGGAAACATATGTATTCAAAACTAAATATATGAAAGTATTGAACTACCTGAAGGTAATTATAGTAATATTTTAATGGAATATTTAACTAAGTTGTTAACTAAGTGAATGAAATCCAGCCAAGAGCATTTGATTAGTGTCTGTTGTAATTGTGGCTTAAAAGAAAATTCTCTACACCCAAGATGCATTCAGTACCCCAGCAAAAGATTAAATTAAAAAATGGTTGTCATAGACTTCCTAACATAAGTATCATGGTGTCACAGTTTGCATACTGTGTGAGGAAGGAGGAAGGCTGGCAGCCTTGTTTTTTCGTGCGTGGTATTATGACAAAATTCAATATATTTTTAATAAGTGTTTATGTGAAACTTTTTAGGTGGCTCCAGTTCTAAGTGACAGCTTGTGCCTCACATCAAAGTCATCTGATGGAAGATCAAGTACGCACCCTATATCAAATAAGGTAAGATTGTTTATATATAATGAAAAAGCTACAGAGATAGGTAAAAGAGAGAACTCCTGTGAAACTGCCTATACAATGGCATTCACTTAAATGATCTGTGAAGTCCTGTATTCTTCCAACTGGGTTGGTGACAGCACGTGCACAGGGTCTCTGGGAGACACAGACAGGTTGGAATTAACTTGTCTGTTTATGGGACAGCTGGCTGATTGCTACTTGGGATTGGTAAGGTGTTAGGATACAACAGTCTTTGTTTTGGGGCCTGTGGCTTTCTTTCTCTGCTTTCTGTTAGCATAAAAGGTGTATTAAGTAACATCTTCCAGGCCTCTAAAACTTCTTTACATTTAACTGGAACTGATCCACAGCTTAAGAATTAGGAGAAAGTGTAGGACACAGAAGGGAGCATGATCACTTAAGCCTCTTTTCCACAAGAAACCAGCTACCCACTACACCCAGTGAAAAACAAACCAAACAAACCCCAAAGCAAAACAACCCTGATTCAAGTACTAAAGTTTGTTCAAATTATTGATGTAATCTGATCACATAAAAAGTTTTAATAGCTTCTTCAAGATTACTGGAAATAACTTGGAAGCTTTCCGACTCACTAGGGAAAGCTGAGAAATATAACACTGTGTGGATTTTGTTGTTAATTTATTCATTTGGGAGAGGGAGCGATAAGGATAAAAGAAAATATCAGCTCAGTTTGGATCTGCTTCATTTTATTCTGGTTCTTCAGTTTTTGCCATGCAAGACCAGAAAACTATACAATTTGAAAAGCAGCTTCATTTCAAGATTGAGTTACTTTATTAATAGTTGTGGCTTGTTGATAGTACCTTAAAAGCTAATGTTTCTGTAACTGACCTTTGAATGGAAAGTCTAATAATGTCAACCTGCTTTAGGAGAAGTTAATTCTTGCTTGGCACCAGTTGTTTTTTTTTTAAACAAAACTGAACCACTAAAAAGATCTGAATGCTGCTTAAATAACACTGTTACTAATACTGTTGTTTCATACCTGAGCCCCTTCTTGTGTCTTATGGTGGTTCTAGATTAGCTAAGAACAACTACTGGAGATGAGTTATGTCTCAAGTGTTACATTCGCCCTTGCATATACCACCTTTCATCTTCAGGTTTAAATTAATTTATTTGACATAAGTAGGTTAGAGAAGAGCTAAGTGTTTGTCATATGGCTTTTCCTCAGGAAAAGAATATTTGTCTAGGGGAGGAAAAATGTAGTTCCAGTAGCTTGTAAATTGGTTTAATATGGGTGTGTTTGTGGGTGTGCATGCACATGTATCAAAGTTAGTCCATCCTCTTAGAATCTTACAGTCTTGGAACCTATGAATCTTAGTCCTTTAGGTTTGTTCTTGACAGAACTTTTGGCAGTGCAGTTCTGCCAGGCTTCTGTTTGGTTTGGGTTTTGAGGTTTTTTGTTTGGTTTTGTGGGGGGTTTTTTGTTTGGTTAGGTTTTTTGAACTTCTACCCTTTTTTCAGTGATTGAACTTAGCTAGCCAGTCTGAAATACATTAGGGCAAGGCAAACAGGCACAATCATAGAGGAGTATAGTATCTTAACACTGGTTTCATTAAGAAACTAGATTGACAAGAATGAGTTTTAAGTGATGACTGGAAACTGCTTTAGAGGAGGTGTCATCGAGTAGTAACAGTCATTCCTGTTTATAACAGGAATAAATTACAGTCTTAGTTCTTATATCACTATTGTTTGGGCCTATACAAAACAGGAACTCCTGTACCCGGCTCAAATAGTGCTGTCCAAACTGGGTAGAAAATAAACTGTATCTGAATGACTTCCAAAGACTAGTGCTGTTTTCCAGAAGTGATACTGTATTTCAGTGCATCGTATTCTTCTCTGTGTTGAGGTTGTCAGAATTCTTCTTCAGGATGCTATTGACTATTTAGATGCACTTGTCCATAGATGCAAAAACTTCTGTTGACTTCAGCTTAATGATAGTGATTGGGACTGGTCCAGTCAATAGTGGCATTTTGTTAATGTATATATACTTAATCCCCATAACTATATGGACACAGGAAAGTGATTCTAAGATTTATTTTAAGGTGTTAAATTTCAGAGAATCTACCAGATATTTAATTCTGAGCAAGTAGTGTGGTAAAAGGTCATTCACTGAACCATGTTTTCTTTTTTTAAGTTTTGTCATTGTCAGAACATCACAGTTGAGTTGAATACTTATGGCATGCAGCAGCAGCCAAGGTGATGATAAAAACACTTTCATTTGCATACTCTTTCTGATGTGGTGAGGTTGCAGGTAAAATATAATTTCCCACAAGTTAACATCTATGATCAGGCTTTTTATATCCTTTATACCCATCTTCTATGGCAAGCAATTAATAATCCCATTGCAGTGGGAGATAAATGAGTATGTTCTGGAAATGTTTTTAAAAATATACTGCTGAATCCTTCGTGAAAATATATTTATCTCAGAAATGGGAGAAAATTGATTTCTGTGTGGATGTTTCCTCATAGCAACAGCTGTTGGCTGGATTACATGCTCCCCTAAGAATAAGTAGTGAATATCTTAATGGAACTACAGTTATTGGATATATTTTTTCCTGGTTCTCTCTTTCCTTGGCAAAGGCAGGATGGGAAATATTCTTTCTGTGCAACACAGTTGGAGTAAAAATAATGTAGAAGGAGGAAACTTTAGCCAGTCCCACCTGGAGCAGGATGGAACAGTCTAGACCTGAACAGTCTAGACTTCCTCATTGAAACTTGATATTCGCTGGTGGTTTTTCAGCAAACCTGTGAGTTGAACTGGCTCTGACTGTGACTTGGCAACCAATACATGTAATGTAGAAGGGAGCATGTTGAGAGAGATCAAGACCACAGCTCTTGGCAACAGCAGAGAATTGCATTTGTTTAAATTCAAGTGCGAAACCACACTCCGACTTACCTTTTTGACGCCATTAGTCTGAAACCCAACGTAGGCGTGTTCTTTGAACCCTTAGCTGCATTTAACCTATCACTACAATTTGAAGGTATTTCCCTTTAGGAAAAGTGAAATGATGTATGAATTCAAGCAAAGGCCAGCTGTTGTGCTTGTAGTTTCTTAGATGAGATAGCAGCAGCTCACTCTTTCAGGGCCCAGAAGAGAAAAGTAGCTGTAACTTCCCTTTTACTCCAGTCAGGGTATCACTAAGCTCTTAACAACAATTCTGTTCCTCTAGAATAGGATATTGATATTGTTGTTACTACCACTTACTCTTTCTTTCCTTAGAAGACCTGAGCTGCTGCCAGCAATTGAATTTGGTTCTGTGACCTGAGATAAAATGACCTTGGTAGCCTTTTTCAATTTTCATGGCCTACAGTCTGAAAATTTTACTTCAGCCTTCCGAATGAAAGTTAATGACTCATAAAGAAATATTTGGAACAGTGCAGCCTCCATAACAGTTATCTGGATTAATTAATACTGTTGGTTTTGTTTCAAAACTATTGCTGTTCTTAGTGTACAGAAAGGAAGTTAATGTAATAAATAGATCTTTTCACTGGCTTAATTTTACTAAGTCTAGGGCAAGACAGAAATTGCAGTACTGCTTACTAAGTAGAAAGTTGCTGTTGTTTAAAAGTAAAAATAATGTTTTTCACAACAGCTTGATTGTTTTAAGTAAATTTGAATATTGTTTTTTAGGCCAAGAAGTTTTGCAAAGACACAACTTGAACTGTATTTCTTGATCTTAAAGTTAGCATATAGAATAGTCTTTCCATGCTTGAGTATCTGTAGGACTGAGCCATAAGCATGATACAAAGACTGAAAGTTACGTACTTTTAAAGAATCTTGTTTGTGTTGGTTTTGGTTTTAGTATTTGGAGGGAGAATGTGTCAACTGCAGTTGTCTTATGCTTGCTGCTTTAAAGCCTAATATTATATTGCAGAGATTACCATTTAATATGGAAGTTAGAGTAATTTGCATGGGTTTAAATTGATTTCTTTTGAAGACAAAGGCTGTAATTAATAGATGAGTTGTAAAGTCACACTAATAAAGCATTGTAACTTTCAGGCTGTAAAACAAACCCTGCTATGTTCAAAGCTAGGAGGTAAGAACCTGTTGGTAGATTGATTTATTTCATAAGCAATATCTTTTAAAATTGCTTTTATAATAGAGGTCATCTAGGTAGCAAAGCAATGCAGGGGATGGAACAAAATTTTTTAATGACAGCAACAGTAAAGAACATTTCCTTTCTAAAGTATTAAAGCAACTTTTTTCTCTTGTGTGATTCCTGATGACACTAATAATTCAATTTCTGAGAAGCAGTAATAAATTCGAGCTAACTTTTAAAAATGTGATTGTAGGTGTATATTATATGTTGTGTGTTTATATTACCACTTATAGTATTTTAAGACATAAATACTTATTTCCTTCAGTGAGGCGTTTTTATTTGTCTTTCAAGGCTGCTGAAACCACTCAAAGTGATACAAGTGTCTCGTCAGGGGAAGCAAGCAAAAGAAGCATTCATTTTCTGCCTAATGAAACAAAACTAGATCCTCAACTAGAAAACAAAGACTTAAATACCAAAGAAAAAAGTGATCCAGGTGTGGATGAAGATGATGTAGAGGGAGATTCTTTTTTTGATGATCCTATACCTAAACCAGAAAGAACTTATGGCTGGTAAGTAACATGGATGTTCTACTTAATACAGGTTTATTTTGTCCTCAGTGTTCTTTCAGACTGCTGAGAGCTAGCTGATGTTTGATTATTTGCTCTTATAAATGCGAGTGTTTAGATCTTTTATGTAACATTTTGTTTCTGAAATCTACATTTTTATGATTCTATTCTTTGAAATGCACAGTGTCATCTGGGATCTCATGGATGTACCATGAATGGAAAACCTGTCTCACTTCAAGTTGCATCAGTTGGACTATATAATGTCCCCAGCCTATTTCTTTGGTGGAATGAATGTGTGTGAGGCACAGACGTCAGTGTTTCTTCTTGCAGCAGAGCTGCGGTGCTGATCAGTACTAAAGGAAGTGGACAATGCAAGGGATAGTGCTTTAGATATCTCTATGACTTTGTAAGGAGTACAAAAAAATGTGGTGAATATTCAAACTGCCTCCATAAACTGTGAGAGTAAGGAATGTTTTTGCACAGCCAAGGGCTTCCTCTTGACATTGCAGCAGCTTTTGTGTGCAATTCTGTTTTCAGTGAAGTGTTTTTATTTCTGTATATGTCAATTTTGCAGATGCTTCTGAAGGGCATTTTTTAAATTGTTCATCTATGTCTGATGACTGAAGAATACCATTTGAAGCAAAAACTAGTGACTGAACTATACAACAGCTTTGTTATAAAACTGAAAACCTGACACAATAACACAAAGATAGGTTTATCTTGAAGCTTAGTTTAGATATCTCTAGTGAGAAATGCTGCAAGATCTTGGTGGTTTTTGCTGTGCTCAAGTAATTTGAGAATTATTCTATCTTAGTAGAGGTTACCAGAAGAGGTTGCAGAAGCATTTGCAGGTCAGTTTGACAGTAGTTCCCCTTATGTTGTTTTTTTCCCCCAACTACATTGATAGTGGGCAGAACAACATAATCTTTTGTATTATTGCTACAGTAGATGCTTGTGCTTGGAACAGAGTCATTCTGGCACAACACAAAACAATCATGACAGGTAAACTAGGTCTCTTTCTAATAAATTAATAGGCTCTTTGATCATTTATAATACAGTTTTTGTTGGATGTATTTAGTTGAAGTGGAATTTTTTTTCCTCACAGAAGTGTTTTTTCTCTGGAAAATGTTCTGTTACAAATAACCCTACTATGGTATTTCTTTTCTCTTATTGGAAATATCAAGATTAAAACCATCTGAGTGCATTTATTCCTCCTTACTCAAGAGCTCATTTAACTAACATTTAACTAATGAAGTCTAACAATTAGCTGGTGGTTATTTTGCCATAAAATAGGTTTAGATGATAAGTTGGGAAAACTAGAAAGGCTGGAGAAACTTCTGGATAATAATAATAATATTTACTAACTGTTCAAGCATTTTCATATGACAAGAAGGGAAAATCACTTTGAAATTGGATAAACTGGTTTTCTTTAAAAAGGTGACAGAAGAAAGGTTCTTAATTATTCAGTAAAATAAGGATTTTTTTCCTAGTAGAGAAACTCCCTACAGAAAAAAATATTTCCAAATTATGTGTGCCTGTAGTAGGGTCACAGTCCACCAAGTAGTAACTTGAACCTTACAGTGTTATTGTGATGTAGCTATTATAGTAATGTTTCATAATAAGGGTTGCTGGATATATTAATAATGAGCTAGCAACTAATTGTGACTGAACCGTCTCTGCTGAGTCTTTTGCTTCTACCCTCCTGGTAGCTCCTCTAGAGGATAGAAAAGAACATACTCTTCAGGTGAAATCCCTTTGTGGTATGTTGTGCTGATATGCCTGAGTCTGAAGGGATGAGTAAGTAGGAGAGGCACCAGCATCGCTTGGTTTGCAAAAGGGTAAATGTCTTATGGGAGCTTTGGCCATTCTGTTAAGAAAGCTGTGTTATTGAGGAAGTGAGCAAGCAGTTACTAAGGACAGAGTAAGAGGTGACCCAGGGCTCTCATTGCCCTTAGTTCTCTGACCAATTGTTCAAAATTTTGAAGTGTTTTACTATGTGGTGGTATATGTGGTATTTTGATGATATAATGAACAATTTGAATGTTGTCTGTTACTAATAGGAATGCAATCACAGTAACAAACAGTTCTGGTAATACTAAATGTGAAAATCTTGATCTCTTTTTAGTAGTGTTTCTTCATCCTTTACTTGCAAGTAGTATATGAACTCAACAGTTTTAAGTAGATAAATGGAATAGATACTAGCCTGGTGAACTTTAACACATGATGATGAGATCGCTCTTGCTATAACCGAGAGGTTTTCATTCTGTGAAGTAACTACTCTTAGGATTAATAGTTTCATCAGACATGATGTCTTTTAGTTTTAAAACTAATTTAAATATGGATTTATATCTGAATCTTTCTTCTTTTGGCTGCATTTACATGGGGGGATAATGAAAGGCCCCCTGATAAAAATAACGATGCTGATGGAGGTGCAGGAGCTCTGTCTGTGAAAGAAGGCAGGCAGAAGTCTTTGCATAGGTGAGAAAGTGACTTTCTTACTGAATGTCTTGCTTGACACTTGTGCCAGTAAACTCCTTACTGTCTTTAAGATTACAGAATTAATAGTCCTTTCCCCTTGCTCATTTTGCTGTAAATATTGCTGTTCTAGTTTTATGACAATTTAGTAAATAATAGAAAAGAAAGTCACTATGCACATTTTACAGCTCTGTGGAGTACTTATTTATTTATTTGTTTCGTTTTAGGAAAACTGACGCTAATAAAGCAGGAGGTCTAGTATCCCTTTCTGATGCACCACCTCTAAAAAGTGGGTTAAGCTCCCTGACTGGTGCTCCTTCACCAAAGGAGTCTGATAGTAAGTTTCCACATGTTTGTGTGTTTTGATGAATGTAGGAGAACTTCCCATAATGTGCTGAACGATCTACTCATTCAGATGCAAATATGATTAAGTATGTGGCCCCCTTCTGGTTGTAATGTGCTTTGTAGTAATACTTGTTTCACTGAGTGTTTGCATACTAGTTTTGATATATTATGCTACCATTGGGACATCTTATGTTTTGGAGTGTGAAATGCTTAAACTCCTTGTTTTTTATGTATATAGAGCAGTTTTCAGGAGTATAAAATTCTACTGAAGAATACTTGTTATAAATGGTTGATGGGTATGTTTAAGTGGGATCTCATTAGGGTGTCACAGGTCAAATTTCCGATACAAATGCTTTTGTTCTGTTACAGATTTGAATAGAAACTCTGTTTTGAAAGACCTGAGGTTGGTGAATGCAAAACTGGGATCACTAGAATTAGGCAAGTACTGCTAAACATGAGGAAGCTCTGATATTTTTAACTATAAGTTCTGGCCTGGCTTCTTAGAGGAATCTGAGAAACTTAAATACACATATTGAGTTAAAATCTTTGGCTTTTACTTCTGTCACTTTTGTTTAACACCAGTGTGAAACTTACTGAAGTTAAGAGCAAAATCTGGTCTAAAGAAATACAGAAAAGTGAAGACTGGTGTATTGTATGTGGATTAGTATTTTACACATGCAGCAAAAATTTGATTCATTCTGATTATATGTTTGCTGGTATCAAGTGATAAATTTTGTTATCTAGGCTCCTATGAAAAGAGGGGTTTTCCGTTTGTGGAAAAAGTTAGTCAGACAAGTCTTGTCTTAGTGTTTTTCAGTGGCATGTTTATTTGGTCTTCAAACTTTTGAAAGTTGCTTTGTAAGCTTTAGGAGAATATGAAGACGATGTGATACAAGAACTATCAGGTGTCTAAAGATAGTCCTGCTAAGTATTTAAATGTTATCTTCAGCAATGTAGTCAACATCCTGAAAATGTATTTGTGAGATTAATTAATAAGCAACATAAACTCCTTTACTCTTAATAATCTTCACAAGTAATTCAATCTACTCCCACACTTGCTTGCCATCAATGTATTTTGGTGCAGGAATAGATTTATTTTTTGCATTTTCTAAAGAGAAACCTTGTTTGATTAATACATTTTAAAAATTATTTAGGAAATGGAGATGAGGATGAGTATGCTGATGACTTCAACAGGTAAGAGAAGGATGATACTGCAGCAACATAGTATTTAATGAATTGTAAGCATATACACTAGCATATTTGAGTTCATAATATTTCAGCTAGTCATTATTGCTGGAGTTTGTCAGTATCTTTGAACTCCATTAAACTTCAGTTTGCTGGTTTAATACATATAGTTACAAATCTTAAAAAAAAAAAAAAAAACACAAAAAAAACCAACCCAAAAAACAAACAAAATAAAACCCACCCAAAAAACCCCACACCAAAACAAAACAAAACAGACCGCTTTTGTGCAGTGGGTAACAAGTTCCTTAAAAACCTGGTGCTAAATTTGTTAGTTATCTGTAGCAGGTGTTTGGTGTTTTTTCCTGAACCATGCACTTAACAATGTTTTAACTATTATTAATGCCATTAGACAATATGGTGTGTGCTGAAATATTCAGCTAAAAAATAAAGCATCATAAGTAGTCAGTAATAAATACTTAACAGCTTTATCCTTGTGATGTGAAGGTATTGGTGTTGTAAACTGCAGGATTGAGGCCAAAGTATTTATTGGTATTTATCATGGCTTCGTCTACATAGAAAGCTTTTAGGTGTTATGGGTTTTTAAATAACTTCATATTTAATTTGCTAGGAATTGAAATCCCAATCATATGTCAGGTATAAAGTGAAAGTGAATGTAATGCCTGGATGTTTGAAAAGTAAGTCTTATTTCTACATGTATTGTTTTCTTTCTTTTTAGTACTAGTCACCGCTCAGAAAAAAGTGATATCAGTATTGGTGAAGAAATAGATGAAATTTCTGTGGAAACAGAGTCAAATGCCAGTGATAAAGTATGATTATTTTAAAATTATTATTCTTGATATTCTTCTTGACTTTTTTTTGTAACCTTCTGTGAAGGAATGTGCCATTGTTGTAGGTTCCTAGGATACACTTTAATTCTGTATTTTTATACCAAGTGTTCCTGCCAAGTTAGATACTATACTGATTAAAAGACAAAACAAAAACCCCTTGACAGTTGTTCAGTAGCATAATTCACTGTCTGTTTCTATATGTGTAAAATGCATTTGAGATTGATTTAGTATCCCTGTATCTCAAGATCTGTCTGAGCACCTCCTAAAGGAGTATGAAATCTCACTGAAAGAGCTTGAGGCCAAAAGGATGAGATGCTATATGAAAGACTACAAGAAATAATGTTTACTGTTTCTATGATTTCTGAGTTTGTAATTTTATTTATTTTTTAGCTTGAAGGCATCACGCAAGACCTTACCATTTCTCAGTTAAGTGATGTTGCAGATTATCTAGAAGATGTGGCATAGAATTGGACAGCAAAAATGTTTATTGTGCTGGACTAGAAGACTGCTGTGGACTGTTAATTTCAGACAATCACTTTTTGCTGGAATGTCCACTCCCTATTTGTGCCTTGTGTTTCAGAAAGACTGTAGGTGGAGAAGGCTCTCAAATATTCTTAACAAGAACTAAATGAAATAGTGCGTTCCCATTTGAGTCTGAGATCAGAATTATTTTCTTCATTAGGTTCAGCCAAACCTTTTACAGCAGGAGGTGGATTTTCAAGCAGAATGTCCATTGCTGGCAGTGGGCATAATAAAAACCAATTGATAAGAGAACATCTGCAGAGAGGCATGTGGCTTTATAATGAACTTGCACTGTTATTGTAACAGTCTGAATTTTTTTAAAGATAACCAAAGCAAGAACCGTCAGAGGTAGTGGTTCAACTCACGCTTCTATTAACACAGTTTTGTCAAGTCAACACGTAGTACATATTTATGGTAACTCTAGCCACAGTACCTAATTGCTCCAGACTTACTTGAAACTGCTGTTTTTCAGACTCTTCTGAAAGTTGGACTTATTTTTTTATAGGCATATCAAATTGGGAGTATCTAAAACTCTCAAATCTAAGTTTAGCTAAATTTAGGAGCTAAATTTAGACCTAGTCTTAATTGAATATTCTTGTTTAAATATGTTTGTCCAACCATTGATGTTAAGACCTAAACTGGTTTTGTATATGATAATTTCATCAATGTTACCTGTTCTTAAATCATAAAAAGTAGTTTTGTAAGGATCCACAAATCATTAACTATTGTTTTTTGTTAAGTTTTTAACAGTGTGGTAATGGTTTGTGGAGCTTTTATTATAGAGGGCTCTTCATGTGCTGTAAGCTCACTTTCATTCTTGAAAATCCTTGTTTCAGAAAAATGAGCGCCAAAAAGTGAAACCACTAACCTTCTGTTTTTCAGATTGACTGCTGTACAGAATTAAATGCAAATATTTAAAAATACCAAGCCGAAGACATTACCGACACTAAGTTCTAGCTAAGAACAAATTCTTGTATTTTCATTATACTCTTGCAAAACAGGGTCAGTAATAGAAACATTGACATTCTTTAATGATACTGTTGTACATGGCGCTGCTATAATTTATAGGTCATGGACATCTGTAATAAACAGGACTTCAAAATGTGCACTTTCTGAACATTGTAAACACATTTGGAAAATATACATGTAAGTGAATATAAATAACTTAATTTTTTTTTTAAGGCTTTGTAATTTTTTTCAGGAACACTGTTGGCCTCTCATCAGTGGTCACCACAGTGGAAGTAGCATGCTAAACTAAAGCCATTGGTTAAGCATAGAGAGCTGCTACTAGCATTGGATGCTGACTTAAATCTTTTTTTGCACTGGGCCAGCAGGAATGGAGCAGTGCTGGGAAGTTAGGCTTGTACAGTACATAAATGATTTAAGAGGAGAGAGGGGAAAGTGTGCCTTTTATTTATGTGCACCCCAAAATAGCCAGCAAAAAAGTATCAGAATATTTAGTCATGCTGTTAACGTCTAATTTTGTGCCATATTGTAGCAGCTGGACACAGAGAAGATTTTTTTTTCATCCCCAAAAAATCAATGTGCCATAGACTTTAAATAGTAACAGCATTGTAACGTACAATACATCCCGTGTAAAAATTCCTTTAAGTATGGGGGAACATGTGCCTCAAGATACTATGTACGGAAAGTTGGGTTTAGACCTTTCTTTCTTTAAGACCAACAGCATGTCTGAAGGAAATAAAATCCCTGGGAACAATTGATTTCTGACATTCATTTTTAAGGTGTATGGAATAATGTACAGACAGTGGTGTTTGGTGTTTTACATGTTTTCAGAAAACATGATGTTCCTTACCTGTTAGCTGTAGGATAAGTGGCAATTTATCATACCAAAAGAAACAAAAACTTTATTAAATGATTTCTAATTGCATTTGAAGATGTGGCCTTTTAAATAACTAAATATTTTGAGTGTTAACATGACTTTTGTTAACAGTGAAGTGTTATTCTCTTACCTTGAGGGTTAAATGGAGACCTTGCACTTTGGCTCTAATTTAAGGAAATGCCAAAAAAGTAGTGTCTCCATGCTGTTCCTCCTGTGGACTTTTACTGAATTGTGTATAATAATTCAAATTGCAAAATAAAGCTATTGTGCTGGCTAAATTGTATTTTTGAGACTTCTTGAACCAAAAAAATCTTAAACTTTAGGAATTTCAGGAAGCCCTGTGGGTGTTGGGAGGGTTTACTGAAAAATATGTTTTTCATAGTCCAGTACGCAGCTGAGAACATGTGCATGCTCGGGCTTCTTCTAAGCTCAAAAGGATCTTGCTGTTCCTGTTGGTGAATCCTAAAGACTGATTAAGACCAGACTGAATAAGGTTACTGTGTATCAGACTGAGTTGTCAGATGGAGTATGATTCAACAGACAAAAGGGGGGGAAAAATCCTATCTTGATTGGAAAATTTTGTCTTGTTAACTGTTGTTAGTTTGAGTTACTTAAACATGACTGACAAGCTCTCTTAAATGCTTGTTTTGCTGTATGTTTCAGTGTTGTTATTTTACATTAGGTGTCTCCCTAAAGGATCTAATGCAGTTGAATCCCCAACCTCATCTGTCTGTTAGAATTAACTGTCAAAAACATGTGGAATGTTCCTGTCAGTGATGTTCTGTATTGGTTCTACCTTTTCACAGATATCTCTGAAAACAGAAGGAAGCATCTAAGAGGGGCACTTATGACTGGTCTCTACAGTTCTGTACCAACTAGGTCTGGTTAGAAACATGCTTTTTTGTTAGATGCTTACACTCTGTCATTTGTTTAGCAAATCCTGTCATTTCCGGAAGTAAAAAATAAAGAGCTAAGCTATGGCTGACATTTCCATACCATTAGTAGAACTATGGTAATGAGGGGTAATGAGGATGGATTATAAAAACAAAAACTATCTCCTTTTTTTTTTTTTTTTTTTTTTTTTTTTTTTTGTAGCAAAGTTGTTGTATTCCACCCTTTTTTCACTTTTTTAAAACAAAGTGAAAAACAATGGCACATCTGATAAAATATTTCCTCCTAAGCAACATTTTTCCCAGACTCTTTTGACAATATAGCCCTGATTTAGACAATGTATCTAGCTCTTGAGACAATGTACATACTTCTGTAACTGACAGGGTCACTGGGTGATAGTGATAAAGGTGTTTACTACTTAGCTTTTTAGTGTAGTAATTTTCACTGATGAAATCGTTTCTACAAAGCCCAGCCTTCTCTTCAGGAAAGAATGCATTCATGGATATTTCAGTTCAGTTGTAGATAAAAGCTGACAAACTTCTAGTTTTAGTATTGTCTAGGCAGCAGGAATTAATGTTGGCAAGATCGCTACAGTGTTCACTTTGGGAAGTGCCAGATGAATCTTGTTTAGGAGGTCTCTTTGGTTTGATGTTTTCCTTGTAAAGCAGAGCCAAGAGAGAAGTTTTCTGAGTTGTAAAAGATGTAGTTTTGGTAGATTTGTAAGTGATCTCATTCATCTTGAAACAAAATACTCTACAGACTAGCTATAATGAGTGCAGTATTGCAAAAATGTAACTTGCAATATATGACTACCTTGATTTCTAAAAAAAAAAGGAACTGGGCTATTCAAGGTCATTGAGTTACCCAGAGATTGAACCTCTGATGGAACTATAATGAACATCAAATGTGTCAGTTCCTTTTGTTTATATATGATGAACAGTACTAAATTCTAATAAAAATGGGGGGGAAATAATGCCCAGTGACATCTAGCATACAATTTCTGGTTTCAGGTTACTGGGGTACTAAAATTTGTTGCTGCTGTGTTTTGTCTGGGGGTTTTTAAATAGAGAATAATAGACAAAATGCATTTAGCTGTCCTTTGCACAGTGTCACTTCTTTGGAATATGTCCATAATGTCTTATAGTCAATCACGTTCAAAACTTCTTGTGTAACTTTTTCCAAATAATTTATTCTTTTTAATATTTCACAGGGCAAAATATAAGTATATAACTGGCTCTTCAAAGAACAGGCCTTGAAATGAATCACCTTAGCTATGTCCATTGTAGGTTTGGGGGAGAAATGGCCAGTAAATGAATAGAGAGCCTTTAAGTACAGAAGGAGGATAGACCATCATTCTTTTTCACTAGGGCAGTCTTCAAGTGATGTCTTGGTACAGTAGTCAAGGAACAATAGATCACACCAAAGTTGAGCATATAATTAAAAGGTTATTTTGGGGAACGCTTGATTTGTTCAATGAACTGAGTGTTTGCTTCTAGTGTTGAGGTTTTTTGCCTTTGTGTCTTTTGACATAGGGCAACAGAATGCATTGTAAGTTCCTCAAAACAGGTTTTTAAAGCTTTATAAGCACAGTGAAGGAGAAAAAAGTTCAGACCTGGTGCTTATGAACTGAATGCACTGCAGCTGGGAACAGAAGGCGGTATGAGGAGTTGCACACTGAGGAGGAGCTCTAATGGGGACATAGGAGGTGTGTGTTGGGCTTCCGTGTCTTGGTCAGCACCTGGTACATGAGGAAGCAGCCTGCCTGCGGGAGCCAGCATGTGTAGGGTGGGGGAAATGCAACTCAGAACTGAGAGATGGCTCAGTTGCTTGCTGAGTACAGGGGAGCAGAGCAGGCTTGTGTTCATCTTATTTTTTAACACCTAAGGACCCCTGCGAGCAGCCTGTGTGAACAAGTGGAAGAGGGTGAACGGTAAGGCCAGGGATGGTGCTTGAGACCACTAGAGGGCACACTGGTGATGGTGACAAGCTGCAGTCCTCAGCACTAGCCAGGGCAACTACCGTGGCGCACGGGAGCCCTCAACCCAGACACAACCCTCGGGAGGATGTGGCTGTCCGCATTCAGGCTGCAGGGAGAGCCTGGAGCTTCTCAGGGGTTGGGACGGCAGCAGCCGCACCTGCGGGAGCTGTGCTCTGGTCATGACACTGAGCTGCCTGGTGAAGCAGACCAGATGGCAGCAGGAATGCCAACCCAAGGGCAGAGGTATTCTGTGGCCGTTTTTAAAGCAAGACCCCCAGTCCCCCATTGCAGGGAAGGAGGGGAGGGACAGAGGCATTGTTTAACCAGGGGGGGGCTCCCAGGGAGGGCTAAATATGAAAACTTTTTCTCCCATTTCAGATGTTTACTGAGAAAACTGTAGAGCCCTGACAACAAGGTTGAGTGACTTTTTTGGGGGGATGCATCTAGCTGTGCTGTTGGAGACAGGCTGAAAGTGATGGGGAACAGTAATCAGGGACTTCCTTCTGCAAAGGGCAGAAGGCACCCTCCTGCCCGTCAGACCTGTTTGTTCTTTGCCCAACCCCACCTCTAGTGTGTTGCTGGTGTCATGGGCAAGATGCTGTTTGGGGTTCTTTATGTCTATGGGACTGTCTTTGAGGAATGAAGTGCTAGGAAAAGGCAGGATGCACCTGATGAAGATGATTATCTTTGGTAGGGTTGCTGACCTTGTGAAGAGTTTAAACTAGGTTTGTTGGGTGTGGAGACCAAAGCCTGCAGGTATCTGGGAGTTGAAGGGAGCACGCACAGGAAAGTCTGAGGGAGGGACATCCCTTGTTGCAAGAAATGGGGGTGACTGGGATCATCCAAGGTTCTTTTCCACAAATGTGCAACAGAGAATACAAGAGAAAGTCTGTGCAGTCACTAAGCTGTGACATCACTGGGATGACAGGAACACAGTGGAATAGCTTGCATGACTGGAATGCTTCAATGGATGGACACAAGCTCAACAAGCAGTCAGGAAAAAAGAATGGAGAGGGGGAGGTCCCCAAATGAGGAGTCTGAATGTGCAGAACGTAAATGGAATAGAAAAAGCCCTGACGACGCCCGCCAGGAGTTTATCATGGCTGAAGGGGAGGCCAACAAAGGGGATATTGTGGTAGGCACCTGCAACAGACCACTCAAGAAAAGGAAGAGAATGAAACCTTCCTTAAACAATTTGAAAAAGTCTTCTGACTGCATGCTGTGGTTTTCATGGGTACTTTTAAGCACCTCTGATTTGCAGGAACTGCAACATGGCAGAACACAAACAAGCCAGGAGACTTACAGTGTGTGAGGGGCCATCTTTTACTTGAATGATGGACAGGATTGGGGGATCTAGATCTGCTACCCAGGAATAAGGAAGAAGGACTCAGATGCAATGGCAACCTTGGCTACAGTGACCACGAGATGATAGTTAAAAAGACTGAGAGCAGAGAGGAAGACAGGTAGCAAGAGTCTTGGACTTCAAGGAAGTTAACTCTATCTTGTTCAGGGTTCTGTTTGGCAGGAACCTGTGGGAGGCTGCTCTGAGGGGTACCAGGGCCAGAGCTGGCTGCCTTTGAAAGGGATTCCTTTCACTATGCAAAACAATGCAGAGGCATAGAAGGAGGACAGACTGGCTGATTGAGAAACTCCAGGCTGAGCTCAAATGCAAAAATTGTATGGAAAGTGCAAGTGAGAATGGGCTGCAAGGGATG